ATAACATCAGAGAAAACAGCTCATGAAATCAACGGCAATGCTTTACCCCAACTGATACAATCAGCAACACATTAAGATCAAGCACAACTTGTAAACTGACCACCTGTGGTAGTCACTAGTCTATCACCCTTAAATCATTTGAATTAAATTGAAATCAAGAAGCAGTCCAGAACATGTCTGCAGTGAACAAAATTTCAGTATAGTGTATGTACCATTTAATGGCTCAGACAGAGTGAGGATGCAAGACCCCTGATCTCAGTTAGCTGATGGCTGAACCCATGATGCCAACTGACCTCAGGCTGCAAGGCCCTGATTGAGTTCCCCAACCTTCTGAATGGTTGAACTCCACACTGTTCTACTACAGGTTTCCCACATCCTTTCTTTAAAGATATTCAACTTTGTGAACTCAGAAAAATGCCCTCTATGACCACCTGTACCTCTGCAGAGTGGGACCAAAGACTGGCTCAATCAGGAGGTCTGAGAGTGCATGGGGGGGGTCTTACTGGTGGGGGAAGGCATGGCTATTCTTCCCATGGTGTGTCACGGCCCAGGCAGCCCTCCTGGTTCTGGAGCGATGGTGGCTTCTTGTGGGGGAAGCTAATTTCTCATTCTTTACAGCTGAGTATTACTCCATTTTCTTAAAAAAAAAAACACATTACACAAACCCAGTCTCTAGTTGATGGGTAATGGGGGTGTTTCCAAGTTTTAGCTATTAAAACTTGTCCTGCTATGAACATGGGTGTACATATATTACTTTGGTATGATTCTTTTTAATTCTTTGGTGAAGATACCCATAAGGGGAATAGCTAGGTCTAATTGGACTTCCAATTCTAGTTTTTGATATATTTCCATTATGATTTCCACAGTGGTTGCACCCTTATACACTCCCATGAACAGGAGATAAGGACTCCTTTTCCCATACAACCCTGCCAGCATTTGTTTTTGGTTGATTTCATGATAGCAGCTGTTTTTCTGGGGTAAGGTGGAATCTCAATGTATTTTTCATTTGCATCTCTTGAATGACCAGTGATGTTGAACATTTTTTCATATGTTTTTGTATTATTTTTACTTCTTTGCCTGAGAAATGTCTGTTCATTTCAAATGCCCATTTTTGGATTGGGTCTTTTAATTTTAGGGGTCTGTTTTTTAAAGTCCTTTATATATTCTAGATAGTAGACCTATGTCAGAGCTGTTGAAAACATTTTCCCACACTGTGTGTTGTCCCTTCACACAGAGTTGGTTGTTTCTCTTGCTGTGAAGAAGCTTCTTTAATAAGAAGGGATCCCACTTGTTGATTGTGGTAGTTCACAGGCAGCTGAGGTTTTGTTTTGTTCATGCATATTTTCCTATGCCAATATCTTTGATAGTTCTACCTAACCTCTCTTACAGACAGTTTAGGGTTCCTGTTTTAATATTTATTTCTTTAATTCATTTCAATTTTAGTTTAGTGCATAGTGAGATATATAGGTCTAGTTTTAATCTTTGGCAAGTTGAAACCTGTTTTTTTCCAGCACCATTTATTAAAGAGGATATCTTTTCTGGAGAGAAGATGTTTGGTTAGTATGTCAAAGACAAGGTGGCTGAGTGTGTCTGGAGCTCTTACTGCATCTTCTAATCTGTTCCACAGATCCTTGGACCTGTTTCTTTGCCAGTAGCATGCTGTTTTTCTCTGTGTAGCTTTGCAGTATAGTTTAAATTTGGGGATTGTGATACCCTCCACCTTGTCTTTATTTTCTAGAATTGCTTTTGCTATTCTAGGTATCTTCGTGTTCCAAATGAATTTTTGGATTGTTTTCTCAAGGTATGTGAAGTATGCTTCTGGATTTTCAACTCAGATTGCTTTGAATCTATATAGCAGACTTTAAATTTGTGGGGTCTGATTTTTTTTTAGTTCTTTATATATTTTAGATAATAGTCCTTTGTCTGAGGAGCAGTTGGTAAAATTTTTTTCCCACATTGTAGGTCGTCTCTTTGCTCTGCTGGTTTTTTCTTTTGTAGTGAAGAAGCTTTTTAATAAGGTGAAATCCCAGTTGTTGATTCTTTGTGATAGTTCCTATACTACTGAGGATTTGTTCATAAAGTCTTTTCCTATGCCAATGTCTTTGAGAGTTCTTACCTTCCAGCAAGTTTAGTGTTTCTTTTTAAATATTTGGATTTTTAATCCACTTGGATTTTAGTTTAGTGCATGGTGAAAGATAAGGGTCTAGTTTTAATCTTTGGCAGGTTGAAATCCAGTTTTTCCCATATAATTTATCCAAGAGGCTGTCCTCCACTGAGGATGGTTGCCTCCTTTATCAAATTTGAGGTAGCTGAGTACATCTGGAGTTGATTCTATATCTTCCAATCTATTTCATGAGTAACATGCTGTTTTTATCACAGTAGCTTTGTAGTATAATTTCAAGTTGGGGATTTTGATACCCACTGCCATGTCTCTATTGCCTAGAATTGCATTTGCTATTCTAGGTCTTTTCTGGTTCCAAATGATTTTTCTGATTATTTTCTCTACTTCTGTGAAATATGCTGTTGAAATTTCAATCAGGATTTAATCAAATCTGTATAGCAATTTTGTTAGTATGGCCATTTTCATTATGTTGATTCTTCCTATCCAGGAGCAGGGGGTATCTTTCTACTTTCCTGTACTCTCTTTGATCTCTTTTTTCAGAATGCTGTAGTTTTCAGTGTAGAGGCCTTTTTCTTCTTTTGTCAAATTGATTTCTAGATATTTCATTTTTTGAGATGCAAAAGTAATTGCATCTCAATGCACTCTAATTTGTCTCTCAGTGAGTCTGTTACTTGTGTACAAGAAGGCTATTGATTTTTGAGTGTTGACCTTGTGTCAAGCTACTCTGATGAAAGGGTCAATTAAGTCTAGAGGCCTTTTGGCAGAGTTTCTTGGGTCTAGAAGACCCAACATGAAGATGGTGATGCCCTCCTGGTTTGACCTGATGGGGCTGAGTCCCAACACCCCAGAGGATGAGGCTGGCATCAAAAAGGCTGCAGAAAACATCAAGGCCCTGATTGAGCACAAAATGAAGAATGGGATCCCTGCCAATCGAATCATCCTGGGTGGCTTTTCACAGGGCGGGGCCCTTTCCCTGTACACAGCCCTCACCTGCCCGCACCCTTTGGCTGGAATCGTGGCGTTGAGCTGCTGGCTGCCTCTGCACCAGAACTTCCCCCAGGCAGCCAACGGCAGTGCCAAGGACCTGGCCATCCTTCAGTGCCATGGGGAGCTGGACCCCATGGTTCCAGTACGGTTTGGGGCCTTGACAGCTGAGAAGCTCTGGTCTGTGGTCACACCTGCCAAGGTCCAGTTCAAGACATACCCAGGTGTCATGCACAGCTCCTGTCCCCAGGAGATGGCAGCTGTGAAGGAATTTCTTGAGAAGCTGCTGCCTCCAGTCTATTCAGAGTTGCTGGCCCCCAGTACAATTCCCCAGCTCACAGGGAACCCAGCAAAAAGTGTGGCACCATCTTGGATCTAAGCCGGTTGAGCCCTCATTTCCCCCCTCCCCACCCCATCCTCTTCCCACAGGCCTCTGGGGCAGGCGGCCAAGGCCTGGCTGCCTCTTCCTTCCTGGCTTTGGCCACCTGGCAGTCTGCAGCAGGGTGGGCTGCTTCCTTACCTTGCTTCCCCGGAGGCGGGCCAGCAGCAGTATTGGAGGGGCTGTAGGCGATGGGAGAAGGGGCCCAGCCGCTGACCCACTCACTCAGGACCTCATTCACTAGCCCCGCTTTGGGCCCCCTCCTGTGACCTAAGGGTTTGGCCCTTGGGGCCCTCCCAGGACTCACCCCAGTGATTCTGCCGGGATAATCATGTGTCTCCTCCCTCACTGCAGCTGCTTCTCAATCATGAATGTCTCCATGGCCCGGGACTCCTTGCTGCTGTGGGCTGCCTGCCCTCAGGCAGGATGGGGGTGAGGAGGTGGAGTCCTTCAAGGGCCTTTCCTCAGCAGCCCCCACTTGGGAGCTGGGCCCTGCCTCCCCTCACCCTCCTACCTCGAAGGCCTGGAGTCTGTGAGGCTGGATTGAGGTGCAAGGTCTCCCCTGGCTGTCTCACCCCCACTGTGTCCCCATGCTAGGGCCAGGGCGGCAGTGACGGAGTTGTTGTATCTCGTCTTCTGTCTCCATGTGATTTCAGGTATTTTTCTTGTTGTGTCCTGGATTCCTGGATTCTGATAAAATTAAAAGAAATTGCTCCCTAAAAAAAAAAAAGAATATAGAATATAGAATATATTATAGAATAAAGAATAAAGAATATAGAATATAGAGTCTCATAGCAGTAGCAAATACTGATGATTTAACTTCTTTCTTTCCTGTCTAATTGCTCTAATTTCTTCTCATGTCTAATTTTTGTGGCTAATGTTTCCAGAACTATATTGAATAGGAGTGGTGATAGGGGGCAGTCTTATCTTGTTCCTGAATTTAACTTGAAGATTTTCAGTTTTTAGCTATTTAATATGATATTGGCTGTTGAGTTTTCATAGATAGCCTTTATCCAGTTGAGATAAATACCATCTATTCTGCAGGGTTTTTATCATGAATGGGTGTTGAATTTTGTCAAATGCTTTTTCTGCATCTATTGAGAGGATCATATGGTTTTTGTCCTTAACTTTATTAATATAGCATATTAGATTTATTGAATTATGTATTGGACCATC